AATGCTGGAAATATTTTTTACTTGCATGTATCATAAACTTTTACCATGTAGATACTAGCCTAGATTAACACGGGATGTACAATAGATTTGAATATACTAGTAAGTGGATAGGACGCTTTTTTGTAAATAGAGAATAGTTTTGATGTATTTACTTCATGATAAAAATTATGAACTCCATTACTTTTCGAAAAAATGAATCACTACCCCTTACTAATCGAGTTCGAAGTTCATACTGTAAGTACAGACCGAGTTTTATTCTCTCAGATTTATTACCCAAGCGCGAAGTGCGCGGGCCATAAATCTGAGCGGAAAAAACAAGGTTCGGTACGGACCAAGAAAAATGAGTTTAATAAGATTTGAATACAAAGTTTTCAACTTAGCGCACCATACAGCGAAATCGACCCGTTTAATTTATCAATCATAGCGCACGTATTTACTTGGAGATATAATTAAGTGTGATAGGGATCAGAGCAAATTGACAAGCCAATTTTTACATTACTGTCATAAGTAACCCTTTTCACATTAATGAGGACAGTAGGAAAGCAATTTGGACTTGGATCTGGCAAGTTTTCATTTTACTTGAATTCAGGGTGTTCTCCATTTTAACAAGAAGTTCAGCCTTAAGAATAGGAGCGCCTGCCTGATATAGCACCTTCTTGGAGCGAACTGCAGACTGGTTCTCTTGTTCTTAGAACTGGTGGGAAAGATATCATGCTTGCTAGACAGACCTAAACATCTAAATAAAAATGAAATGCTTAATTAGCAAAGATACAGAGATCTTTTTAACATTTTTGTTAGACATTAAAGCTTGCAAGGGTAGTTCTTATCGGTACTAATGTTATTTCGGCTGTTTATGATGTAACAATTGATTGCTTAGTGAGCAAAACACTTTAACACCGAAATCTCTTGACCGCAAGTAAGATTACTGCTAATGGAAATGCTATGTTTCCTCGCTTGAACGCTGGTGCCGTTAATTTTAGATCCTTGAAGCATTGAGCAAGGATTTTAATTTATGAAAGACAGCCATTTATCTTGCCATAGTGCTATGATACTCATAAATATAATGTGCAAGGGATGTCAGTGTTTATATCGGTACAAAAGCCCGATTGTAATCGAGACTAAGCATCCGAGTAAACACGTCAATCATGAATGAATTTTCTAGTTTAGCCTGTCAAGCACAGATGTTTTATTAGTTTATATTTGGTACAGGATATCAAAAGAAATGTAGATAGGTCAGTGTCAGGGATGAAATTAGAAAATTATAGCTTCTAATGAATAGAATATTATACATATGGATATTAAACGATATATGAAAATGAATTTCATTGTACTGGGTGCTGGGACACCTCTTTGGGTTTAGTTTGGTTTGTATTGTACGATAGAAGGCAATAAAAGAAGTCAATAATACGAGAAGTTTTGTGATTAAGAAATGAGTGTAGCGCTGAGCGCGCTCGTATTGGTCAAAACGCCTGTGTTTCGATCATTGGAAGACTAGAGGAAACTGAAACGTTTTCAAGTTACCGACCGTTCTTTATTTAAAAAAAAAACCGTTTTGATGTTGATGTCAGTCAAAAGAAGAAATATATCTGAATTGAAAAATATCTAAGGTCAAAGTTTTCTTGCTCAATTCAGATAAACTATCTCTAGAAACTTTCCCTCTTATATGGACTGGGGAATCAAGCGCAACTTAGAGATTTCGTTTCGCTCTTCAGAACAGCACAGCTGCTTTGTCGGTTACATGACTTATAGGGGCAGTTATACATCGCACTCCTGTCGATGTAAAAATCAATACAAAAAAATCAAATTAAATAACCTAACTATCATATTATTTACAAATATTGGAAAAAGAGCTATGTTTAATTTGTACGAATGGCGGAAACGAATATGGAAATGATGGCGCTTGCTTTCTCTTGTACCCAACCTACCTACTTCAAACATAACATGACTCTACTACTAATTGTCCGTCGTTTAACTGTACAATCTTGTCACATTCTTCAATGGTTTTCAGCCGATGGGCGATGGTGATTACAGTTGAGTTTTTGAGTTTTTCGTGGATTGTTTGGTGTATGATTTGTTCTGTTTTGGGGTCAACATGAGCAGTGGGTTCATCAAGGACCACAATTTTACTCCCTTGTAGTAAAACACGAGCTAAACAAACTAACTGCTTCTCTCCTACGCTCAGATTCACTCCTTTGTTTGTCATTGTATGATCCAATTTTCCCTGAAAGTTCTCCACGAGTGTTTTCAATTGCACAGTTTCTAATGCGTCCCACAGATCAACATCGCTATGTTCTTCCAGTGGATCGAGGTTCATTCTAAGGGATCCACTGAACACAACAGGATTTTGACTAAGCACAGAGATACAACTCCTAGAGTCTTGTAGATTTAAACTTGTAAGCTCCACTCCGTCCACAGTGATTGACCCTTCAGCTTCAGGCATGCGCAGAAGAGCAGATACTATGCTTGATTTCCCGGATCCGGTTCTACCGACAACTCCAACCTTGGAATGTCCTTCGATGTACATAATAATTTTCTTGAGTGCCGCCGGTCCCTCAGGATAGTATGTGAGAGATAGCTCGGTAAATTTGATGTCTCCATTTGATGGCCATTGTTTTGGTTTTTCTGTTGGTGTATCGTATCCCATTTCAGGTTCAAGTTTGGTGATTGCCATTACTCTCTCTACAGATGTCATCAAATTCTCGACTTCACAGGACTGTTGAACTGATACCTGGGTGAAGTGAGAGGTTTCAAAGACGTACACGAATGCAAGACCAACAAGAGCTGAAAATTAAGAATATAGCACCCCAGTTAGACCTTTCCATAAAAATATCTTTCTGATGCGTTATAAATCATGTGCACAAGTGCAGTGAATCATAAGCACTAGTTGAACTCAAACACTCGGTTGATTTTGGGGAGATAAGTCCGGTTGCGAACGCGTAATGGAGTCACTTTGCTTTTTATAAAAGAGCATGAAATCCCCGCTCTCATGGTCATTCTTTCCATTCAGGAGTCTTCCTGAGAATGCCATAGGTTCGACTGAAAGAGCCTAGTTTCCCCATTAAGAGGAAGAAGCTGTGTCCGCAGATCGCATAACTTTGCGAAATCTGGATTAAGAATGGAGACAAAAGACATTCTTTTAACGCGACAAATGGCCCCTTTTTAACAAAAATAACTACCCATGGGAAAAGCAAATATAGTTGTTACCAAAGAAAGACACCAAATATTTCTTGATACAAAACGAGTAATTTCTGTAATTATATTAAGCAAAGAAGAACCCACGATTTGTTAGGATCTCGCTTACCGTTGTCATGGCAAAATAGAGCAGCAGCTAAGGCAACAGCGCCGATCAAGATGGCAGATAGGAGATCTAATCTTATTCCAAGCCAACGAGTCGCAGCCAATACCATGAAATATGCTTGATTGTGAACGTCTTGATATCTGCCAAGTTGGAAAAAATGAGATAACAAAACAAATTTAGGTCACCACATTTCTAGAGTCTTCTTTTTTTCTTATTCAGGTTACTTGTGTCCTCTTATACGCATTCGTTTGAAATCAGAGTTTCTTTATGCCTGATTTCAGTTCAATATCAGTATATCACCCCCACAAAATCACAAAGGTTAATGCATGATTGTCGTCATGCATTAAGGTTTTCGTCAGGCTTAAAGCCAGCTTGCATACACCGAAGAAGTCTCTCTTCTGCTATTTATTATTATCACTTTGAGTATTTCACTTCACTTCCCAGCCTTGACATGAAGAAATTCTGCATAATAACCGTACAGCCGTTCTGAGTCTTCTCCCTCGATTTCCTATCATCACTTTCAGCAATTTGCATGACTTTTAAAGTCTTAACACGAAAAAAATTCTGCATGATAGGAATACAGCTGCTCCAGGTCATTTCGATAGTATTTTAAAAATGCGAAAAAGCGTTTTTCTTTCAAAACGACAATGAAAAGAAGACATAGCAGTAATTTCTTGTTAATAACAATGTTACCTGTGTAATTGATCAGCAAACTCGCGTTGTCTTCCACGGGAACGAATGGTGTCCAAACCATCTAATGTTTCCGAGATATGTGACAACACAGGACTGCGGCACACAGATTCTAGCCTCTTAAGTTCTCTAGAGGTTTTCATGAAGTACCTTGCAATGTAAACATACAGTATGATGATAGGAACAACAACTGCTGCCAGCCACGCATTTGCGATTAATGGAACGAGAGCTGCAGTCAAGACGAACAACACCAACTGGACTGCAAACAGAAATGTCTTCGGCAGAACTTCGTCCATGCAGCCGATGTCTTTAGAAAATCGATTAAGGATTCTGCCGATTGGATTCGAGTCAAAAAATAACACCGGTGCTTTTAGGAGGGCTGTCACCATGTCATCGTGAAGGCTCTCTGAGGATCTCAGTACCACCTGGAAGAACATGTAAGCTCGAATTGTCGCAAGGATAACAGCTGCAGTGACACAACTGGCGTAGATTCCAATGTTAATTCTGTCTGTCTGGTCTTCACTAGGGAGTCTTGTAAGAAAGGAAAGCCATAGGTCCGGTGAAATCATGACTCCTAAAAGCAATAAATATGAAATGTTAGAGCAGTTCAAATCGATAGACCATTAACTAAGCGAACACTATCGACGAAGCGAGTTTTGTGTCTATTTTATGCTTCTATTTACAGAGTATCTATAACTGCAAACTTGCAGCACTGATGTAGGAAACTGAAATGTGATCAAGATAATTTTGTTTATCAACTGAGTTGATAATGTAAATTCGCCACCGTGAAGAGTTTCAAAGCTGACGTTTCGAGCGTTAGCTCTTCGTTTGTTTTTCGCCCAGACGAGGGGCTGAAACTCTTTACCGTAGCCAATTTACGTTATTAACACATTTGTTAAGAAGGAATTAGTCGATTTCTCACCAAATAATCGGCACCAAAGGTTTGCTGCCGTCCTTCTAAAGGAGGCTACGTTGCGATAGTTTTAGTCGTATTAAGAGTCTTGGAGAACGGCATTTACACAGAGTAAAGCTATGAAATAATCGTGTTTCAGGAACAAAAAAGATAAAGAGGCAAGAGAGAACCAAAGAGATATAAGGATGGCGAAGATTAAAACGGATTAAAGAGACAGAAGAACCTTAGCGAAGTTCCTTACCTTGACAAAGAAGGAACATTAAGGCCATGCCACCTAAAAGGATTGGATGTACTCCTGCCGTTAAATAATCCCAGTAACGCTTGCAGGACACTGTTCCAGTCATGCGGTCTTCGTCTGGGATTTGTATGCTTTTGACTTGCTTGTTGTCGGAACAATGTACTTTGGTATTTTTTGTGATAAGCTCTTCAAAAAAAGTTTTATGGAAACTTTTGTTTTGAGGGTCTAGAATGTCTGTCAGTGCTTCTTTTTCATTGAGTTCTAAGAAAGTTCCTCGATCGATCACTGAGCCACTATGCAAAACAATGATTTCATCTGCGAACTTCATGTGGGACTCTTGATGAGAAACCATAAGACGAACTTTGTTAGATAAAACGCCAAGAATACAATGATTAAAGATGTCATTGCCAACATTAGCATCGACAGCTGAGAGTGGATTATCCAGCAGGTAAATATCACAATCAGCATACACAGCACGAGCCAAACTGATGCGAGTGCGCTGACCACCGCTTAACGTGTCGCCTCGCTCTCCAATAACCACTTGGTCTTTATCAGGAAATCTTTCAATATCATCTTCTAATGCACAAGCTCTGATGGTTCGGACGTATTTTTCGACATCAAATGGTTGACCAAACAAGATGTTATCTCGCAGGGTACCAGAGAAGACCCAAGGAACCTGCGGTACGTAAGCAATTGTCCCGCAACACTGGACATGTCCATCAGTGACTGGAATCTCTCCCGTAATTATAGATAGTAATGTTGATTTTCCACTGCCCACTGGACCAGTTATGATAGCAAAGTGATCGTTGTTTGCTTCCAAATAGATTGACTTTACCGAGCACTTATTGGAATCAATCTTACAAGTCACATTGGATAATTTGACCATCGTTTTCTCAGGCTTTCCCTTCAAGTCTTCGTCTTTGATTATTCGTGCTTTTTCAGATTGATTTTTTCCCAGATTCTTTGTTTCAAGAAGATTATGTTTATTTTTACTTTCAAGATCATCTCTATAGATATTTATGTCATTAGATTTCTTCAATGACTCTTCAAAACATGCGAGCTCGTTGATGATATCTTCAAATTCTTCATTTTCAAAAGGACTTGCATTTTTCGTTAATTTGGTTAACGGTTTTACATCAGTCAAACTGCATAGGTTTTGTAGCATCAGAAATTCTTGTATCCTTTGAAATGATACGTAAGCCTCGTAAACGAACATTGTTCCTTCCCCTATGGACCTCAGTGCGCTGTTACGAAGAACGTTGATAATGGACAAGAGAGTGAAAACGATGAACGGTGTTAAGTGATGGCCAAAAAGAGCGAGGGTCAACAGAGAAATGAAGGAAGCTACAATCCCCGAGGTATACATAAGAGAAATCGCACATGATAGGAGGACGCTCTTGCAACGAATTACCTTCATCTCCTTCCTGCAAAGAAGAGTATGTAAAGAGGATGTATGAGACTTTCATGCAGGTTACAGGAGGAGAATTAGATATCCCATGTGTACTACAGGATACCATGTACTCTGGCTAAGGTTAATCCTACTTTCGCTATGATTTACATCAACACAAAGCAAGTTTTTCGTACGTCGTTGTTTTAAACTCGTGCTAATACTAACGCCTCTCCAAGTCAGTTGACATCGCCAATGAAAAGAAAACTATTCGCTAACTACCGTTTAACTAAAGAAATTTGTCAATGAAATCTGTCAAGGAAAACTCATTGCCGAAGGAGAACTTTCCTTTGAACAATTACAATTTCCAGGCAAAGGGTCCTTGTCAAGTCATCTTACTGGCAAACGCCGTCTACAGCAACAGTCCAATTGTTAAGAAAGGCGTGTCAGTTTTTTAACTAGGGAACTTGGCAATAGAAAAAATGGCATATTTTAAGATTTACACGACGAAGGAAAACTTTTGTATAGCGCTTAACTCAGCTCTATCGATACGTACACGAGTCTCCTTTGTTTGAACTTTGATAGTGTCACGTAGCCTGCTTATTGGAATTTCATTCCCCTTAATTGAATTTGTAGTGAGACACTGATCGAAGATTTCCCATTTGATTTGATTCTTTCCACTAACCTCCGAGCTTCCTTAACATGATCTCTGAAAAACCATTCCCACGCATGGGTTTTAACTTCACGTATCCCAGCGATTATTTCAGTCATGAGATTTATTCGTCGGTCACTGATGACAGCGGTCTGCAGGCGAAGCTTTCCTGACAGGTATGTCAAGTAGCCACCAAACGGTACGAGAAGAAATAAGAAGATGATCCCCGTTAATGCCTGCCAACCTATGAAGTACCATAACAAAGGTACCACTACACAAACATCAAAGATGGCGACGAGAAGGCGGAAGAATTGCCTGGCAGCTTGTTCCATTCTTTGAACGTCATTGGACACCAGATCGACCACGTGACCTTTGGTAAAGTCGTTTAGCGTGTGTTGGCTTAGTTGTAGAATCTAGGATAGTAGAAAATTCGAATGAAACGCTTTAAGATGTTGATCGATAAGGTGTAAATTGTCACCACAATGATTCATCATTGCGACGGAAGTTTTCAATAAACAGACAAGACCACAGACTACGTGGGAGAATTCACAGTATAAACAAAATTTGCATTTCAAACCCTCACTCAATCTCAGTTGTCTCTTAATGTATTTCAAATCCACTTGTATCCCATCGAAAATCAAGATGTTGCAAAAGCTGTCACTTCCAATCAAGTTGGTAACCTCAAAGAGGATTCCAAAGTATATAAATATGGTTTTTCAATAATCCCTACTTAAAACTTAGATCTGCTTGAACTTAATTGAATTTGTTAATCTTTGAGCATATTATTTTATATTCTTTTCACTCTGGCTTGCACAGCTGGACTAGTTATTATCCTGCCATGGGTTTTTTTTCTCTGCGGAATGTGATTTCCCTCTGCTGCATTTTGATGCACACAAAACCGAAGTTATCCGGAAAGAAATGCTCTTTTATCTTGCCGTGCCGTTATTGACTGATGGAACTCCTCCAAAAATCTTTCAGAAGACCTCGTACTACAGCAATAAGCTAAATTTACACAGAACATTCCGTTGCGAATGAATCGGAAATTCCGGAAAACACGGAATTGATGGCAACAATGTCCTGTCGAGACGAACTGTTTCTGTCTGGATAAAATATTAAAATGATATATTTGCATGTTCATCCTTTCCCGGCAAACAAACAAGTAGCACCTTGATTACATGATGTTTACTGAGTGGCGTGATCGATTAGTATTCGATTCATTCATTTCAGGCGTGATTTATTTGGCGAGAAGCTTTAGCAATCTTTCGTAGTCATCCTTCCGGTAAAAAGCAGTACTCCTTCAAAATTTGGTTTTTGGGTTTCCGGACAATAATGTACTAACCGGTCTGGGAAAAACGCGAAGGTGTTATTAAATTGAAGTACATTTTCTCTAAAAAATGTTCATCAATATGCTTCTCGATAGAACCTTGATTTTAGCCACATGTCATTTATTCCATTAGCTAAAACGTCTGTGCGCCTGGATTCAAATAATGTATTCGCTTGAAAAATACCGTCACTTATCATTCCGTCCATTGGTTACACGTTATAACTGCAGTTGGTTAGTTCCTCGCAAAATGGGTCGGCCCTCATTGGGTTCACGCCCGAACCAGGGCCAGATAACTCCACAACCTAAATCTCACAGTTTCTTTTGTCGTTAGACAACCTTAAGTCCTCTTTTTCTGTTTATCATCAGTTCCCATAAACTGGAAGGGGAGGGCACTTGACTCTCGAATATGGCAACAGCAAAATGAATCAAGACGAGAATAGAAAAAGAACAGCTAATTATTACAACTGATTGATATAACTAATTTCCTTCCCATTCAAATACGAATTTCTCTCATTTGGTGCAAATTTGACAGATCTTTCTCTCTGGAAGATAGGCTGCGCCTGAAGAAATACTCTCTTCAATAAACTGAATGGTCAATCCTTTCTTTCTTTCTTTATTTTTCGAGATTTTGGTGAGGTCACTAACCTTTTTAAAGATGACTCCCTTGAGAGACGCCTTCATTCGCATGCCAATTACGTACAGTTTGAAGCTACTATGATGTACAGCGACACTTTTCATCACTACAATTATCAGCATCAATACAGCGCACCCGCAAAGCAGACTTCTTTCAGGCCTGTCCGACATAAGTGTAGAAATAAATACCCCCAGGAAAAAAGGTTGTAGAAATCGACCCACGGAGTCTATCAGCCCAGCAAAGGAAATTACTAACAGGTCCTTAAGAGAGAGAACTTTCAAAGCACTTTTCCACAATTTGGGTTCTTTTTCAGTTAGTTTGTGATCGTTGAGATCTTTCATCCACTGTGACTGAAGCTGTTTTGTCAATTCAGAAGTTGTATCTTCTTCGTGCAACGGCCAGAAGTCGGATTGTTCTAAAGGGCGCTGGTTTCCAGTTTTGAACAAATCGTTTGTCCACCAGAAGAGCAGAAAGGAAATTATGTTTGCTTTTCTCTGTGGATGCGTGGAGGCATCATGTTCTCCACCGTCGATCATTTTTCTGAAAAAGAGAGTTTTATCAACTTAGGCATCTTCCGATATGCGCACGATGAGATGTTGAGAACATAAGTGCTTTGTCGGAACTTACATTGTTTTGCACGGATGCTGGATACAACGAAGTATTGATGAGATCCACTCGGATTCAATGTGTTTTAAACAGTATCATGATGATGATAGGGCAGTACAGATTTTTCAACACAATATTTGTGCATTCAATCAAAAGAAGATCATTAAAAATTTTTATTGCAGGAATATTGCGAGGAGCATTAAAAAAACATTTTAAACAATGTTATCAACGACATTTTACCCTTGGTTGAGGGAGTGATTTCAGTGTTCGCTGCAACTAAAGTTTCTAGATGGTAGGGATGATAAGAAATACTCACCAATACAATATGGGAACAACTTAACAACAAAATACATCAATAAACATTTGCGGCAAAATATTTACTGTTAAAATAGTAACTGGAACCAACGGAGCGCCGGACTAAGCGACTGACATTTACGTCATCAAAGAATCTGAAATCAGTCACACAGATTGCACGACAGTCATCACCGGCGAGCCCCTAAATATCACTTACGTTTTTGCGATCTAAAACAGGTAGAAAAACCTTGCTTTAAATTTCCAGAGTTTCAGTTTATAGTTGTAGTTTTGAGACAAACACCAATGGGCAGTAAAAAGCATGAGAGGCGGTCCGAAGAGCTATCTTTATGGGCGTGAAATATTTCAAGCTTCAGCGACCTCAACACCTAATTGAACGTTTCTGTCAAATTCTCCGCCGACTTCCCATTGAAAATTTTGCGCTGACGTGAATTTATCCCAGGATAACCACAGAATCTCAAACGGTAATATCTGAAAGATCGATATTTCCGTCGAGAGTGATGATTCCAACAGGTGTCATTCAGGGTAAATGCCACTTACGGGATGGAACAGAAAGCATTTCCCGCGTGTGAGAAACCACAGTAATCAAGAGACGTTTATAGCCTTAAAGTCTATTAAACCGATTATTGAGAACAAAACTTTGAAAGATTAGAACAGCATACTGGTAAAAATACAATTCTTGACCATGAATAGGATCTTATTTTCGATCGAGCTATTTGATATTCAATTAACTAAGATCAGCGCTGACCGAGAGTCAAGGACTTTTAGGCGGATTTTCCGGCTCAAGCAGTCAACATGTAGTTTATCGTATGGTCCTATTGTGTCGAGTTTGACCTCTTATCGATTGAACAACTTAAGATTGCGAGCACTATGCTCCTTGTTAAGCGCAATTCGTATCAGATTCCATTGAAGTATAAGCTCGTTTGATTAGGTCTTACTCATTCGATCAAAGATCTTCAGGATTAAAGCGGCGAGAACACGGCTCGCATCAGCAGGACCAACATTCTTTCCATTCTGGCTTGTAAATTTTTGTCAGCTGTCAACTTAGCGACAAACTAGAAAGTGCAATGATATGAGGTTATCTTTTTTCCAAATCATTTTCAAAGACATATATAATAAGATTTGTTTAATGATATAACAAAGTGGGTTTCTATAATAAACCATCACACGAGCCGCAAATAGCCTCCTTTTGAGCCAATTAGAAGTCTATTAAGATCTGTTGCCGTGATGAAAGCGCGGTTAAGTCACGTGGCTTGCATGGTTTAGGCATCGAACTGGATTGGACGAGAAACAATGGCTTTGACGAATTGGGTAGAAAACTATATATGAGTTTTCTGAATTACAAAGAGTTTAGTGGATGCCGAAAGACATTTGAAAACCACTAGCCTGTTACACATCCGCGAATGTGCTAGAATGAAAGCCGACTTTTGGACGCCTGCCCTTTTTGTGACAATCGCAGTTCATTATCGTTACCAAGCTAATTACTTATTGCATAATATTCTCTTTTCAACTTTTTTTTTCTTCTTTTAGATCTCCTTTCTCTGTCTTTTCACATGTTTTCGACTATCATCAATCTGAGCTTTCTGAATTTATTTTTCGCACAAATTTGCTTAACTGGACAAATAAATTCATTTCAGACAGGAGAATGGGCTCTTATGAGCACACTTTAAACTCTTGATGCGGTTACCATATCTTAACTCGCAAATGGTTAATATTAGCAAGGACACATTAAGTATATAGCGCTGATAAGATCACTTTAAAACCGCGACTGCAAGCACTATAGACTGTGAGATCTTCACCCGCTAAGAATATGCCCTTCTCATAGTTTTTCTACCTGGTACTCAGCTGATGTAGACACTTGCCTATACAGGCAAACGTTCTGGCCTACCTTAGCGCATAAAGAGAAGAGAGCAAGGAAGATAGTGGGGTGTATTTGAAACGACCAACGTTTAAGATCGTCGGTTATTGCAGATTCATGATTTTTTTCGATCTTTGAAAGATGGTCGCATACGAATATTGATGCTTGAAGACACATTTAAAGAGTAACAATATACTTATGATGACGAACTGAAAAAGTTTCACGTGTAACATATCATTTGTTGATAGTTTGCTTCTACGCGCTACAACTCATTCTGTTAAAACAATTTGACTGCAAAGCGAATCAATAGCTATCCGCGCCAAATGCAATGTTTTGTTCTAAAAGTAATCTCAGTCTTATCATTTAGCACTCAAAAGTTTTTGCCGATACACGTGAAACTCTCGTTATTCCTCTTACAGTCATTGCCTTACCTTTTAGGTTGAATTAAAACATACATCCTCTTGCTGGAAATTAAAATAGTTGATCTAATAAATGCCTTTGAAAAGTTTCCTAGTTTATCCGGTAGCTGAGTTAAGACCGCATATACACTTTGCAGCAAAAGTCAAATTAAGGAGTTGTGATTATGTTCGCGAGTGAATTTGAATTAGGAAGCACTTTAGTTGGACTGTTATTTTGTGGCCGACTAATTGACTTGTATTTGCCCGCAGCTATATGCTGACTTGTCCACGTGCGAATTTAATAAACATTCCTTTCGAAGAAATTACTGTTCAATTGTTTATAAAAAGCTTCCCGACTGGACACTGCATATTGGACCCTCAGATGTTGAGAGAATATAACAAGAAAAAGATTCCTCGACGCCGAGAAATCGCATGCTTCATAAAGCAATCAAATTGACACAGTGATTAGTAAATAGTCTCTCCGTCTAAGCGTAATAAATGACATGACATGGCCTGAAGGATCTCTGGCTTATCAACAGAATTGAATCAGATGAAAAAGAATTTGAAATTTAGAAGAATAAAAACTGTTTAGTGTTACTAAAAACAATTCAAATAAGGCTGGAATAAATAAGAATTTACCTTAACGTTTCGTGCATGTTCTCAGCGCCGGTAATCCTGTGTACTTCTGACAACGGACGTTTATACCCGAATTATTCAGCCCTAACATAGCTCGACATCCTTTATATCGATTTTAGCCTCCGTTGGCCCGAAAAAGAGGGTATCTAATTAAAAACCACCAACACGAAAACCTGAAGGCCGGGTAGTTGGATTTCCCTTGTTTTATTCACTTGATCAGTCACACATTAAATTCTGAGGGAATGTGTTAATTCTTTGAAGGGAACAGACAGTGCATAGCCATACAACTAGTGTAGCGCCATGGCGGAGATAGTTCTTAGACATGTGCTCAGACAACACGCAAAGGAAGTAGGAAATTCTAAATAAACACAAACTCACAATCGGCGTGTTACGGAAGGTGAAAAATTAGTCCGCGATTTTTTATGGCCATAATCCGATAATTTCTCCAAACCCATGCTGTGTGTGTCAGTTTTTTTTATACTATATCCGTTAAAGTTTTTTCCTTTTCGCTGCTGACGATCATCCACAATATTAAGGGAATTTTTTTAATAATTCGCCGGAAAGCCAAAGTTGTGAGATATTTTGACACAGACGGCTTCTTGAGAAGAGTAGGAATGCAAACAAACGAACAAACAAAGATATCACTGAAGCACAAATATTTCGTGTTCATCACGATTTCTTCCTAACCACAAGTTCAATACACTCAAACGAAAACTACCACCGAAAGACGACTCACTAAGATGCTCTGAACTAATGACGTGAGAACCTTTACTAATTGCGTGAGGTAGCTCCAGGCTATTACACTGAACAAAGTGTATGAGAATTAATTCATAATTTGAGTGGTTCTTTTAGAGAAATTCTGCGCATAATTGACTAGCTTTAAGAGCAATATCAAATTTTGGAATCGACCTCCAAGGATTTTAAGAAAATGCTTCACCAGAAAAATGTACCGCAATCTCAGCGTTGAGGTATGGTCATCAGATGACGGAAATGGGAAGGTTATGAATGTGGGTTATTAAAGAGCTTAAGTAATTGCAGTCCTTTACTTTGTAAACACGACAAAGGCTACAGGAGGCAAAATAGTGGAAATAACAAATTTTTAAGCTATAAGAGCTATATTTTTGAGTCATCTGGTATGTAGCCACTTAGAAGTCTATTACCGGTTAGCCCTTGTCATTCCTCTCTCTCTTATTCTACGGAATGCTACTATCATTTTTTTCCCCTTCACTCTCTATGGAAAATGCGTCACTAAACTATGTCCAAGTTAATATTCAGCCCACGTCCTACTTGCAGAGACAATCAGTGACCACAAGAAATTGATCAGAAAAATCAATATTTGCAAACATCCTCGTAGACTTGGATGTGTTCTTAAGTTAAGGATTGCTCTCCCATGCAATTTTGGTAAAGCCGTGACATTGCACTAAACTGAATATTAAACAGGTAATTTAAGTATGACTTTTATGGCAATGGCAAATAAATAACACAATCACTGATTTTTCCCATTAATATGAAATCAACCTTTCACGAGTGCTAGAAGATGTCTTGTTCACAGTAATTGCAAGTACTTTCTTCTCGTGAGCAACGGCTCTATGGAAAAGGCAATCCTTTTGTCGTTTACCGCATGCCGTAAAAAGTCCTACATGGCTAAGATCTTACCTTGAAACTTCCTATGGGATTACTGAACTTTTTCGTGAAGAGTTGATTTCTCTGTATAAGTTACTCTTCTAACAGTGACCGAAATCCCGCAAACCATTTGTCGCATCAACCCGTAACATTGAGAGGTTGAAGTTACACACGCCGCAATGAAATGTCAAAAGCGACTGAGTCATTTGAAGTCACAACAATTACTTTAATAGGACTATTTGAATAAACACACTTCTTATAACCAATGACGATTAAGAGGCACTTACTCATCACAAGTTTCATTACGTAATTTCGAACGGATTGGGAAAAAATGAAAAACTTATCTCACTCACAGCTAAGAATCTGGAAGCCGGAAATTAGAAAATTACACCGGACCTCGATAATGGTCCATGCCAAAGTAAAGCCGGGTTTTGTTGCACATCCAGCCAGTATCCTAGTGCGCTGGTTTAAACTGTCACTTAATCTGCTTTTGTATCCGGCAAAGATTGCAGGAATAAAACAAGCCGAAACACAGCAATTTGGCGAGTAAAGCTATCGTTCTCAAAAGTTTTTTACCTCGTGGTTAGTCCCTTTATTCGTTTTAAGATATAGAGTTATCGGTTTCAGTACAATCGATTTTAACGTGTTCTTTTTCAAGATTAACAACATAATCTAGAGAGAGTAAATAATGTTTCCTATTCATCGCTTATTACCGGTTATTGATGCTGTGTTATGTTATCCAGCGAATAGACATAATAAGGTCTGCAAAAGAGATACCTCTACTTCAATTCTGGCGAAATACTCTCACGATTAACAATTTTTTTCACGTCTGTAACATTTTCCAGAGGATTTATTAGATATTTTCCATGTCATAGCCACTGGTTTGAAACTAATACTTTAATCCACAGTGAAACGTAAGGGGGCTTACATTGCATGAAAGGTCTTAATATGTGACAAAAAAAATTAAACCTTAAAAGAATCTATAATATTTAAGGAAAGAACCTTTCTATAAACTGAAGGTGTTAATGCAGTGTGGTTCTAAAAATAAAAAACGCCTTTTCATTCCTAAACTGTTAAAAATCATTTTAGTCACGAGACTCGTTAATTAAGAGCTAATTACTCAACAAGTGCCATCTAAATTCTTCAAATTGTCAAGATTTTCAAAAAAAAAAAATTTCTTAGTCCTCAATAATGTTCGAATTATGATACAACATGGCAGTCTAAATGATAACAGGAAGTCCTTTGGAGGAGATTTGGTAGTTCTAACACATTGTAAGGACTGCTTATGGAGAGCTAACTCCCAACGGTTAAAACCGGGGCATTACGCTGTATAAATAGTCTTTACAAAAGTCAGACAGGTAAAAGAAAAACAAAATTAAGATTAATTCGTAAAAAGTAATGAAATTCCTTCGAGGAATAATTTCGTCCTTTTTTCTTTGACACTAAAGATCAGTTTCATTATACACAGCGAGAAGTTATTTTTATGTTGTACTTACGGTTTTATTTTTACGCTTCCGTTGCCATATAAACATTTAGATATCCTTGGCACTTAATCCCCACTGACTTCCACTAAAGTAGCTCAAAACTTCAATGCATTAAAATTGTTCATGCTCCAATAACTCACAGGTACACGTGTTTGTTTAAAGTTAAAAACTTATAAGGGAAGGTCATGTCGGAAGCTCTCCGCCCATCGGGTGATTGTCTTTCTATGTTTACAGTGTTCGATACAACAACCAACAATTTGATCACACCATAGAAAATAAACATGTGAAAGAAAAAGCAAACTAGATTAAAATAAAGCGTTTACCATGATTCATTATAAACCAGTAAATAATCCTCTAATGCATGTGTCATGGATAGTGTCCGCTGCGAGGCCGGACTATACGATAAAACAAAACATGACGCTAACTTGTTAATTAAAGAAGGATAAACCCTTTTTCTATACACGCCTAAATGAGGCTCTACCGAGGTTTAAATAACAAAACAGCCAAAAACATAAAATGCCAAAACCTGTTAATAACTATAAATTATTTAAAGACTAAAAGTTATCAAATTGACAGAAAAAGATAATAGAGTTCTTCCATGAAAATTACGGTGGTGTACATCCTTGGTCATCCTTGGTCTTGCGAAGGGGAGAAACAAATTCGCTCCTCGTCTTTCTCTAGAGCTTCATATTAAAATGAAAATGGTTTAGCTAAAGATATGTGAATTTTTAAAACAATCGGCATCAAAGTCTTAAGAGCAAAAAATTAGGCTTTGTAGATATAGGAGTTAATGATCAGGGAAAAGACGGACTAGATAAGCTTTTATTCGGGTTTTGCCGGGGGTAACTAAATTCTTCCAGAGCTCAACTTAAACTACATAGAGCTCCGCTTTACAGAAACTTAAAGCGCTGCGCTTTAATTACTTATAGAGCTCCGCTTTAAAAAAAACTTAAGGAGCTCCGCTTTCAGTCCCGGACAAATCCCTACATTTTGTCAAACACACTTCATTCCTTGCAGGCAGCCTGAACACAAGCCTCTCTGCATTTTCTTGATACAATGAAAAAAAATAGCCAGTATTACGTTTCAGAGTGTCTCTTAGAGTAATGCAACTTCCTCGTTCAACTCTCTATTATGAATTCCAACCAGGACGTCTGCAATCTTGTCTGTTTCATCTCCTGAAATTGGCACCAATTCATACTTCCCTCTGCATTCTTCGCAGCTTTTCAGAATATCCGTCAGTTTCGAGATGAACATCTCCACCTTAAGTTTGTAGGTAAAACAGTATCTTAGCTAGACTCATCCTCGGAGACCCAGGGGCTGTGAGTCGATTTCAAATCAGGGCAGTAGAGCCCGAGGATGAGCGAGACTAAAAATCAGTGATGAAGTATTAGATATCTCATGCAAGTCAGTCCTTGAAGTAAACTAATTTCGATTTATTAGGAACCAACTGGCTTAAAAATTTCACTTTATTTTATCGTCAGGACTTTTTCGCACCACGAAGGGTAAATATTGAAAACGTCGTCATCACTCTAAATAACTCTCTATTCCTTAAAGAAAAACAGATAAATGGACGGGTAAATTCCTTAGAGAAACTGCGTTCTGCTTTTAATCTTCACAATCTTACAGAGTAACTGAACAAACTCGTGCTAGCGAAAGAAAGAATTCGCCAACTTCTTGGTAATTTGAGGATTGCAAAAAGTTTTTTCTTCCTAGAGATTTACAAAAGATTGCGGTGAACTTAAGGCGCAAGTAAGATACGGACCAATAAATAAGAGCACTTTGCGTCCTATTTCAACCACGTTTGTGCGCAAAATCCCATTTCGCGTTGGGGTCCTATTTTAGACGGGGCTCAATTTCCTCTTACAAATGGTCCCGTTATATCGCTTCAAATGTGGATGGTTAGACTTTGATTGGTAATGTACTTACCTGATGTGTTCGATCCTGATAACTCAGCGGAGCAGCCGCATTCTGAGACATCTGATATAAGGACATCAGAGCGGTGGCGTATTCCAGTACAAAGTAGTATTCCTCTGTCGTTCCATCTGGGCGGAGCATCTCTACCCGATGTACTGTGTGCTTGTAAATCCTATCCTTGATTCCTCCCCTGTTTATTTTGCTCTCCGGGAGATTACCAACAGATTTCACCCTGTAATCTGCTTCTGTGATTTCAGGATATGTGTAGCACGATTTGGGTAACAAAATGAAAAGCTTTTTGTGTTTTATCTTGAAGCGGAATTGCACCGATTTTGCTATTTGACGCTCGAGCCTTGGCAGCACCAGCTTTAGATACCCGAAGTAGTAGTTCCAGGCCATTCCTTCAGCAACGTTCTTGTTTTCTCGTTCGTTGATTTCCGATCTCTCAGCAGTAGAAGGTTGTCGGAGACCCAACAGGAACAGCAACTGCGGAATGACGAAACAGTTGAGTGAAAACAAGATGACATAGGGTGAACAACAGAAAACCTCGTAATGTTCAAACAAGAAGAAAATCAATGTCAGAGCGGAAGCAGTGGTTGCGACCAAAATACTCTTTCCATGTTCGAAAGTAAGAGTTGCCTTAAAAATGAGCCTCCACTTTCCATCATATCTCGTGTATTTGTGTCGAATCTCTTCAAACACCAGGCAGAATCTTCGCAATAGTTCTCCGAGAACTAGACTTAGGGTTAGCAAGGCTGCTATAAACAAAATGAAATGAATTCCTTCTCTGTCCTCTTTTTCCTTCACAGCAAACAGCAACATCGTTCCTCCAATTACAGCGATGACAACTGAAGCAATTGTAGCAGTTTTACCGCGAGGCCTTAAGAGTGGTCTAAACCCATTATTTTCCTGTTGAGCGAGGGGAAGGGTTCCATAAGGAGGACGACCATTCATGTTGAATAAAATGTATTCTATTCTAATGAAACTGAGAGTTCTGTGTTGTTTGTACCAATGATTATGAAAGCACGAAACTGGAACAAGCAGATTGTTTTGATTTGTCGAGCCATTCTCGATGGATGTTCTCCAAATGATTGCTCCGGTCTTGATTGGTCATAACTTACATCATTGATTATTTCTTGAATCTTTTTCCCAAGGAAAAACTCGTGGAAGGTGGTTAGAATTTCTTTTTCCCGCAAACTAACTTTCAGTTTCGAACAGGTTTTCCCCATACGGATGAAGAATTTGTTATTATGGGATCGGTATATTTTTAGCAATATACCTCATCAGGAGCCCATTATACTGACCTCATCAGTTGTACTGAACGGTTCAAAACTAGCAATGGTGATCGTGACGGGCTATTTTGCCCCTCAATATGAGAACTCTAATTAAGACTAGGAACGAGTTTGGTGTGCGTTTTCTTTCCCATGATACCTTTATGGCCGTGTGATCGTCTGAAATAAAACATGGCGGAAACAGTGGGCAGATAAAATTTCTCCAGTTTAGTCCATCACTTTAGAATGCCAAGAGGTTTCACAAACTGAAATGAGTGCAGCAGGATGGGTTGAAACATTGCGAAGGTTCAATGAGAGGAAAAAGGCAAAGAAAGAAGAAGGTATGATGTTTTGTCGCAATGCAACTCCCCGAAAGTGTCTTGTCCGTCTGTTATAATCGCTGTTTCTTTTCCTCTCTTTCAAAATCTAGATGCTGAGAATGTAGCAAAAAGGTCTCCCAGCGAGACAGAGCTGTTTACCAAGTATTACAATGATTGGAAAGGAGCAGGGAAAGGCAAAACCAAAAGTTATGATGCGATACCTAGATTTTATTTCAAGGTGTCTGCCTGTTTTATGTGCGCTTTGTACACACAATGCTTACATTTTTTTGTGGTAGTTAAGAGTTATCTAGTCCAATTCAGTTTCGTTCGTACTATCCAAAAGTTCAACAAGAAAGTTGCCAACTTAAAGGAATTACTTCATGCGCTCAAAGTGATATTCTCCATTCGGAACCTAGATGATAGCTTGAACAATTTAAAAGACATTTTTACGATGGTGGATGGATGATAATTCTAGCATTGATCATGTCAATGTATAGTCTGTATACAGAGTATGCATTTAGTCTCTATCCCTCCTGAATTTATTTTGTCAACTTTTCAAGTTAATTAAATTATTTTCTTCTCTCTTGGGGGTCAGCTTCCTTCGGAAGATGAAGTTTTGTTGCAAAAACTGCGCGAGGAATCACGAGCTGTGTTTCTCCAGCGAAAAAGTAGAGAGCTCCTCGACAACGATGAACTGCAGGTGAAATGATTGCTTGATTTTTGATGTTTTTCATAAGATCTTCATGTAATAAACTTCAGAATAATCCTCACAGCCATGTATCTCTTGATACACGCACTCTTACTAATTGATGGTAATTCTTTTTTTCATTATAGAACCTGTGGTTTTTACTTGATAAGCACCACACACCACCTTTGTTTGGAGATGAACAGGTATTCTGTGAGACAGTGATGGAGCTACATCTTTGTGGCATAATTTACTTGTGAAAAATATTTTAATTGTAACCATGCATTTAAAGGAATTTTTGTCAGAAGTATAATATTGTCTTTTCACATTATACATATGAATCTTATTTCATTCAAGGGTTTTGAAATTAGGAAGGTTAGTTAAATGTTAATAGTAATCCAAGCTTCTCTGAAGTGAGGTAACAGGGCATGAAATTGCGCCTAATACAGGCGCCAATGCGCCTAAATTTTTCATTTTGGCGACCAAATCCTGAAAGTTAGTCGCCAAATTGGCGACTAGAACGTTTCATCAAAACGTAGCACATGCATCTCGATCAATAACTAGACGCCATCTTGGATTTAGATGAGCCTGAACCTTGTATATCATCCATCCTAGTGTCCACTTTGTAGCATGTTAAAGATCTTTCCCTAACTTAATTTTGGAGGGTCTATCTAGAACGCTGACAG